TCTCTCTCTCTCTCTCTCTCTCTCCCATTTCTCGTTCTCTCTCCTTTCCTCTCTCCTCTTCTCCCTCTCCATAAACATACACATATAGCACAAAGTTCCACAAGCACAGCTCGCAAAACAACAGCGTACTGAGCAAACACCGAGAAAAAGAAGTAACTACACGGAGTCTTACTATCATTGCCGGGGCACAACTCACTCTGTTTCTCCTCCCCCCTGCCGTGCTTCCTGTACCACGTGACCTCAGGGTGGGGAGTACCTGTGACGTTGCAGATGAGGGTAACGGTGTCCCCCTCACGCACGGTGGTATCAGTTGAGGACAGGTGCTCTAGGATTTTGGCTGGCACTGGAGACAGAGAATATTGAAAACATCTTATAAGACTATATCAAATACGACTTTTATTTTTTATTTTTTTCACTTAAAAAAAAGAGGAATATCGTGTCCGTTTATCATTATTTTGTCATACAAGAAAGAAAATAAACCACGTCCATGTTTTTAAATTTATGCATAACTGATAACCGAAAAAGTCTAAATTTTTATACCGCCGTCACAGATTAATTATATAAATCGTATCTTAATTTAAGAAGTTTTATGTGGTTTCTGCATAATATGTATCACGACCGAGAAATACAACTTTAAAATTTACATTTAAACCGGTGTATTCTATAGAGGAGGAATTCTTGATTTGGACTGCTGCCCCTGAAAAATTAATTGTCTGTATAAATCTTCAGTTTTTCTCTGAAACTGCCTACATATGATAATATATCGGGGTTCCTGACAGAAGTTAACCACTGGAAACAGTGTCGGAAGAAGGCAACAACTCTGGAATCTGTGCTGCAACAATGGGATGATAAAGACATGATAAGATAGGTCAGTATATTTATACTTTCTCATTTACAGGTTCAGCAATCATACTGACTGACTGACTGACTGACTGACTGACTGACTCTTACTTACTTACTTACTTATTTACTTACTTACTTACTTACTTAGGCCAACTTACTTACTTACTTACTGTAATTATTTTGGGACGTAATTTACTTTCAACTGCAGTGCTAATCAGCAATCGTTTGTCAGTGAGTGGATAGGTAGGCATGGTGAGGATTTTCATTGGTTATGGAAGTGCATTATCATTCAAAAGCCAGAGATAAAAAATGTCTAGGTTAGTCATTTATTTGTGCTTCAGCGCAGTAGATCAAACAGGTCAGCCATAATTGTGTTGCAACACGGTATAATGAGGTGCTTGTCAATATTAGGTCTTATGGAGTTATTGCTAGCATCTTAAAGCTCGTTTTTGCTTTTCTTTTTTTGAAAATGTTCATCTATGCTGAAAGGAAGTCAAGCTTATTTGCGATTAAAGGAGATGGGGTCGCTTAGTGTCAGAGGGAAAATTAGAGAGAAAATGATCCCAAAGTTTGGTGACTTCCAAAGCTTGTGTCTCTTTGTAAACTGCAAATCTCAACTTTTTTGTGCCTTTGATCAACTTTTCCCGGAAAATTCCTCACAGAAATGTAGTTTTAAATGGGGTTTTTAAATCTTGTTAATTAAGCGGGGAAAAAACAACGATAAAAATTGCCCTGTGCATATTGGGATACAGTTGTCAAGCCATAATAATATTCGCTCCGTTTGCAATTTGTAGCATCCGAAGACACATGGTCAACAAGACAGGAAATGCACGGAGTGTGAATGGTTATCTTCTGCCTTGTCCATATTTTGAGAATGAAACATTTCAATACTTTATGAAGGAATTCATGCTAAAGCAAGACAGTACAAATCATGGCAGTTTGTCACATGTGCTCAGCACAATCAGAATCATAATGACATGCGTGTTAATTTGCCCATTTTATTATTATTCCACTTTAATTAAATGAATAGGCCCATACATCGTCAGTGGTATCGCCAGTTGCACTGAATTGGTGTCTACTTAAAGCAAAAACCAAAGTTACTGACAAAACTTTCAGAAGCGGAGAATTAAGAATTTTAAGATAGGCTACATGCAGAGCGAAGACAATAAATAGGTGCTATTAATTACATGTCAGTACAAGTGTTATTATGGAGGGGTTTTTTTTGTGTCTTTGTGCGTGTTTTGCTTGTGTTTATTGTTCTTATTTATTTGTTTTATTAGATTATTTTCGTGTCAAGAGAGAGGGGAGGGGGGCAAAAGACATTCTGCGTGAACGATGGTAAACATGTGCCAAAGGGAAAGAAATAACGCAAGAAAAAAACATGAAAGACGGACCGATTGTTCAAGGAAAGAATGGGAGAGTCGAAGTGCTGGGGAGGTAGGTAGAGATATGTATGTACTATGTTACTAAGCGGATTTACTCTATTGTTCTTAATATCCTAGATCGATTTTGCGTTAGAGGTTTTTTATTCGTCGAAAATGTATGACGGTAAAGACAGAATATAGCGCTTCAAAGGCTGAAATCTTTTGTTTTCTTGTTAAACGTTGTTTTTTTCTGATAATTTATCAAATTTGGGG